AGAAGGATCTCTGTGAACTCCAACAATAGTCGAAGAAATGGCTGCTGAGATTCAATGTCACGAAGTGTTAGAGGATGCACCTGTGGCGTACCAACGGTAAGGAGGCGTATCATATGCCCCAACGGGATGGAGAAACTGCACTATTTGAGACTGAATGTGAGAAGGACCTCGGTGTGTATGTTGACAATGAGCTGAAGTTCTCGGGCCATTGCGAGAAGAGGGTATTCGGGAAAATAAGTTATTGAGTCTTATAAGAAGGTCATTCAGATATCCAGACGGTCCTGCCCTCGTAACGATCTTCAAGAGTGAAGTGCTTCCCCATCTGGAGTTCTGTCACCCCGTCTGGTCCCCGAGATATGCTAGGGACTGTCATTTGCTTGGAAATGTTCAAAGGAGGGCCGCCAGGCTGGTGCCTGCACTTCGGCACCTCAACTACCCTGAGAGACTGGAGCGCCTGAACTTGCCTAGCTTATACTACAGACGGGCAAGGGGCGACCTAATTGAGGTGTGTAAGCATCTCAAGGGGCACTACTCAGTCGAGTGTCCTTACTTGTAGCTGGCGGACGCTCGCTCCACAAGGGGTCACAACTCAAGATTGAAGAAGCCGCAAGTCCAGAAAACTGTGAGGACAAACTTTTTCGGAGTGAGAGTTGTGAACTCTTGGAACAATCTACCAGAAAGTGTTGTGACGGCACCGAGTGTAAGCTCTTTCAAGACCAGACTTGACCAACACTGGAGCAGGTTCATGTACATTCAGGAGCCGGTGCATGCCCAGTACTTGCCAACAGTGCGTAACAGAGACGTGACCGATCGCCCAAGCGGCTAACGAGCCGATCACTGGTGAAGAGGATAAAAGAAGAGATCAAGAGTGAGTCAATATTCACCACTGATATAATGGTTAGCGAAGGAGAAACAACAATGTTCTTCTTACGCTTACGACGATCCCAGAGTTCTTCCTGCACCACTGACTCCTGCCATAACCTGAGCGTACCTTCGTTGAGTAATAAATATATTTTTTAAATCTCTTTCCTCGGTTTTCTTATGAATATTTCTCACAACTTGGTCTTATTTGTCCATCCATCAATATTCCATCTCCCTCTAATCCTGACTTTCAATCTTTTCTTGTCTTTATCGTCCGCAATAGCCTCGTCAGTGATAGTCTTACAGTCACGGTAATACCAGCAACATCATCTTGATCCTGACAGCTTCATCTAGTCTCTCATAGACAATTCCTCTGCATCTAAACACACCTTGTGAAAAAACCCAACCTCACAGGAATTGCATGTCGGTATACGTTGTAGATTGGGGCCAGCAAGCAATCTGGATCAACAGGTTAGGTTAGGTTAGGTTAGGTTAGTGGTGACCTCTATCGCAAGGTTATCCGAGGAACTTTGTGTGCTGTGTCCTTGATTATTACCTTATACTTATTATAATTTTCCTTATTTTTTTCCCATATTCTGTGTCAGCCAGTATTGTATATGTTCTCTACCATTACTATCCTTTACCATACTTTCCCCTTGTACCATACTTTTCCCTATACCATACTTCCCCTGCACCATTATCACCCCTACCAAGATATTCCCTGCACCATTATCACCCCTACCAAGATATTTCCCCGCACCATTATCACCCCTACCAAGATATTCCCTGCACCATTATCACCCCTACCAAGATATTCCCCTGCACCATTATCACCCCTACCAAGATATTCCCTGCACCATTATCATCCCTACCAAGATATTCCCTGCACCATTGTCACCCCTACCAAGATATTCCCTGCACCATTATCATCCCTACCAAGATATTCCCTCATCACCCCTACCAAGATATTCCCTGCACCATTATCATCCCTACCAAGATATTCCCTGCACCATTATCATCCCTACCAAGATATTCCCTGCACCATTATCACCCCTACCAAGATATTCCCTGCACCATTATCACCCCTACCAAGATATTCCCTGCACCATTGTCACCCCTACCAAGATATTCCCTGCACCATTATCATCCCTACCAAGATATTCCCTGCACCATTATCATCCCTACCAAGATATTCCCTGCACCATTATCACCCCTACCAAGATATTCCCTTGCACCATTATCATCCCTACCAAGATATTCCCTGCACCATTATCCACCCCTACCAAGATATTCCTGCACCATTATCATCCCTTACCAAGATATTCCTGCAATCTAATATCACCCTACCAAGATATTCCCTGCACCATTATCATCCCTACCAAGATATTCCCCGCACCATTATCATCCCTACCAAGATATTCCCTGCACCATTATCATCCCTACCAAGATATTCCCTGCACCATTGTCACCCCTACCAAGATATTCCCTGCACCATTATCACCCCTACCAAGATATTCCCTGCACCATTATCACCCCTACCAAGATATTCCCTGCACCATTATCACCCCTACCAAGATATTCCCTGCACCATTATCACCCCTACCAAGATATTCCCTGCACCATTATCACCCTGCCCCCAAATATTCCCCTCACCACGATAAAGGTTAGGGGCCTTAGCAGGGCTTCTCCTTTACATGCAAATTGTTTTCGTTAAAAGCAATTTGTTGTCTAGCAAGTCTGCCAAAGTCAATCATGATTTCAATGCATACCTAATATCTTAATATTCAGGCAGAATGAATTTTCTTAAAAGAATGGCATATTTTGGCGGCGTGTTGTCTCGTAAGGGGGAGCAGTTTTATCCGCTTTAATACGTGTTGACTTGAATTTTACCTCAAGTCAATAATTTTTGGATGAAACGCGAGTTCTTTTCCACGGAGATAATCTTCCTGGCCCGTTAGCATGGCGGCAGCTGTCACTGATGAAATTGTGCTGTACTAGTTTGAGATTAATGAATGTTTGAATTTTTTTCTTATTGTTTCGTAGTCAAATTTATTCCCTTGAAAATGATAAACGCTATAATGATATTTGTAGCTACAGAAATTTATGTTAGCGCGCGCGCGCGCACACACACACACACACACACACACACACACACACACACACACACACACATGTCTATTATTTATTTATTTATTTAGGTGTTGTGAATAAGGACGAAGTGGGAGGTTGGCGCAGCTGTAGTGTCTGGCCAGCGGAGATTAGACGATAAGAAAATGAATGGTGGGATGAGAGGCTGGCGAAGTTAATTACGGAGTTAAAGAAGGTCATATGAGTGTCAGGAGTAAGTGAGGAGTAATGAAAGAGAAGGTCAAAAGAATAGGGAAAGGAATGGACAAGGTAGATTCATGAAAAATGTAAGAGAAACGAAATGACTAGGATGAAAAAGTAAAAAAAAAAACAAGTAATATTTATGTAAATTCAAAGTATTAAATGGAATAAATGAAGGAAAAAAGTCAATATTTCCTATAATTTTATTTTCAGGTTAGAAATTTATGAGGCATTTTCATCAGTTGCCTTATTTACTAACTTTTTTCTTTAGTTCATTCAGAATATTGTTCCGGTTCACTGTCTGTAAACTTTCCATTTTTTCACCTTTATTTATTTATTTTTTTACTTTTCTTAAAAGCTGAAACTTTGCTGAACATTTCCTGGTTAATTACACCCGAGCGTTTTTGTCTTTTTAGATATCATAAAGCTACAGTAAAGCACCATCTATAGTAGTCTGATAATTTGGCACGAATAATCCACTCAATAGATGGTGCTGGTAGGATGTATACAGCGAATACGTAACAACATTGTAATACAGATGTTAATTGTGTTGGTGGTACTGTAGAGTCTTATGATACAGTATAAAGTAAGTTTAATGTTTATCGGACTCTGTGACATGGCGAAAATGTGTCTTTGAATATTAAGAACAAAGCTGACAGAAGAAGAAATAGACTGATTAGTTTACACTGCATGTGCAAGAAGAAGCTAGTGTCCCAGGTACCGGATCATAACACCAGCATTTTATGTCTCTTTGATTTGCCATATATTGTTGAGTGGTTACTGGAGAGATCACGCAAGTGCCGCCTGTCCGTCTTATACAGCGCGAGACTTGACAGTGAACATGTATTCAGTAATTCTCTACATTATTTCATATAATACAAATGAAATGCTGAGTGAATTATTATTAGTATGTCTTTTAGTTTATCTCTAACGTCATCTAATCACCACGAAGACGTTTAAATTACCTGTAAGAAGCTTCATTCATAATATTGGAAAAGTCTAATATAATAAATTAGTTATGGAGTCCATTAGCCCTTTACTAGTGATCGAGGTGTAGTGAGGGTGGAGACTAGAGAGTGTCCTCGGCACTGTATTGACCGACCCTCTTCACTTCTCCATCTGTAAAGTTAGGTACCCACGTGCAACTTGGTGAATGGGGTGGGGTGGGGTGGGGTGGGGTGGGATTGGGTTGAGTGGGGGTGGGATGGGGTGGGTGGGAGTGGTGTGGTGGGATTGGTTGAGTGGGGAGGATGGGGTGGGGTGGGGTGGGTGGATTGAGGTTGCTGTAACTACTCAGCCGCTGCAGCCTAAGACATGTAGTGCAATATTGTTCAGAGATGTGGGATGGTATAGTGTGTTGGTGGGGTAGGAGGTTCCGCGCAAACTGAGTGTGTGAAAATTTCTATTGGTTTCATGAGCCAGGGCAGATAAGGCATGTTTCATGTGAGGGTGATGTATGCCTGCTTCATTTAATAGCATTATTTTGATACATTGTATGCCAGGGAATGTTTTATATTTACCAAAGATATAACTGGGAGAAGAGAAATATCTTACACGGAAATTAATTAATGAGAGATAATACACAATATGGTTCTGAGCCTTGGTTGTGTGTATAAAGTATTGATTGAAACAGACTAATACAACACTTGTACATTAGTAGTATGACCGATGAAACAATAGTGTGAACGCCGAAGGGATGCTATTTAACACAAGTAACAATTTATAAACTGTAGAAATAAACTTTGAGGTAAGAAAGGGAAAGAAGTAATTTGGCTTCCAGTATTCACTTATATTTGTGTGTCTTCTTTCAGCCCTGTTTGAGTTGTCTGAAGCAATAGAGTGTAGTCAACGATGAGGTCTTTTGATGATGAAACACCGGTGCTCCTGAGGTCTTTGTATAAACAAGTCCAAAGTCAACTTGTTCCACTCTACAACAGTATTTCTATCACTCTACTTCGTCATCCTTCATCATTACTACTCGTGGGTAAACAACAGCCAACTGCTATTCATCGAGGTATGTTTTAATAAATGAGTTGTAGAAACTAGCGCCATGCAGTCAAAATGTAATGTAATTAATTGGTGCTGTGGGATGGATACTTTCAGTTGTGTTATTCTGAATTCTAGTCTACAGTAGGTTGGTTTATATTATTGGGAATCGTCTAAGTGGGATGTAACCAGGGATGTGCTGGCAATTTCCAGACAACCGGTTCTGATTATGGTCGATATCCAGGTGGTGGTGTTAATCTGTGAACGCTGACAGTGAGAGCCATGCGGTAGAGGGGCAGGTTATGTCCGTCTGCATTAACTCTACATCAACTATCTTTATGTATTTCTGCTATCAGATTTACATGCTTCTCTGGAAGTCCAGTGGTACGCAAGATTTATTTTATAGCATTAAGCGATAGACGCTATCGAATGATCATTTCTAAGTCAGCAAACACCACATACGGGTGTTTTATGGTCCCAGGGTGTGTCGCAATACCGTCCTCTCCTTCTGAAACCGGCTTGTCCGTCACGCAGTCTTCGTCCTGAATTCTAATTTGTAGAGTTAGGCTGAAAACTTTAAGAACAATTCCAATCATTGTAATGTTCCTCAAGCGCCCGCAGTCCTTCAGGTCTCCTCTTCGGGTCTTAACGATATTCACGATTTCTAGTCATCTGAAATTCTTTCATTATATCATATCTCATCTAAAAGTCCTTTCATAGTTCTGTATGTCATATTTATATTTGTTTTTAAAATTTCGTCTGTTGAACCATCGGGACCGGGATCCGACTAATTCTTCACTTGCTGGATTAAAATATATTTTTTCCTTTATTGTAGTTGTAACAGCGAATCTCTCCCGTTGGGCGACACAATCTCAGATGTACAACAACCAACTTTATTCTTGTGGTAATAGCGTTACTGTACACCTGTGACAAGTAAAAACTCTACCCACACAAATAGTCACCTAATGTGTCCCCAATATTTCTTATATATATATAGGGTAATAACAGGCGTGGCCAAGCAGAGATAGAATTATACACAGATATGATACAGATGAAGTAGGAACATGCGGTTGACAAATGACGACTCACCAACATGGCCTGTAGGAGAAAGATGTAATACTGTCATGTGTATTAAGACAGCGCCTCGGTGGCAATACATTCACAATAATATTTCACACACTCAACAACAAGTGTATCTAAGAGTCAGTGAAGCAATGTCGGTATTCATGTATGACCGCTTCTGCCTCAACGTAGACCCCACTACGTCCACCGATGCCCAGCCTATGACTCCCACCTTGGCCACACCCGCACCTAATCCCGAGCCCCAAGGGAAGTGAGAGTCGAATTGGAATTTTCTCATTATTTAATACGCACTACCCCCTGGCTCTATTGGCCCACGGGCATAAGACTACGTGAGGAGCTGGCTGAGGTGACGTTGCCAGGCGTTGCGGCCCAGTCCTTGCACCCAATCCCAGGCCAAACCAACATATATTAGTCTCTGTCAGCTGCCAACACCCTGGTGAGAGCGACTCCGGGCTGCTCTACTCTAGGCCTAGTGGAGCACGGACGGTCGCCTTCCTCCCTGAGACAATGGTGCGTTAAGAGTGTAAGTTGGGCCTCATTGGCAAAACACACGGCGGTAACAGTAATAATCCTTCTCTGGTTCAGGTATAGTGATATAATTTTCAATACAAATTTCGATCATTTTACTTGTGATATGCTTCCACCATCTCTGACGTATTTGTTCCTCTGATGTTGAAATGTCACTATTTAGTTGTCTTACTGGCCACTTTCTCACACTCCTCCCGACTCCAGCTATCTGCTTAAATGCCCTTACCCCACCCTTACCCCACCCTCACCCACACCCTCACCCACACCCACAAAAAATGGCTCCACTAACCTTTAAGTGAATCAGGCGACAATCGTGTATTTGTTTTACTGATCACAAAGTATGAAATTCTAAATAATACAATTTTCAGTTAATTCCAGTTTACTGAGGTGCGTCTGTCTAAATCCCCGTGAAAGCTGTGTGAATGATCAGTGCACAGGGACTTAAAGCTGGTGAATTGTCCAACAGTCTGGTTATCTCTACACGCCAGACACTCACCTGAATGTGATTTGTTGGTAAATTAGAAGAAAAAAAACTTTAACTCTGGGGCAGTTCTTAAAGCGTCAAGTATTCTTCTTTTACATGTTTTAGTTGTTAGCAGGTAATTAATGGCGGTAAAATGGAGAGCCTTGGGTATTTTTTGTAGTTTTCTATAATATTTTGTTTCTAACATTTAAACAATTTTGTGTACCATATTTTCCTCTGTATTTCTGTACCATAATATAATTTCTCATTTGAGCACAAGATTGAGAGGTCCCAAGACAGGAAATAATGTGTGGTCAAAACAAAACAGAATCTTTGGCATGAATTTTGCTTGCTAAAAACAATTAAAAATGAAATATTTCACACTGCATATCACTTATTGCAACAGTGACAAAAATTTCTGGTATTATTATTATTATTATTATTATTATTATTATTATTATTATTATTATTATTATTATTATTATTATTATTATTATTATTATTATTCGTGGCAGAGGGAGAGAGAGGTACACGGTGTTGTGAGTGGCAGGTATCGGGGCCTCCCAGGTGGTCCTGGAAGTACTGACATGGCAGTCATAAGAATGAGTGTGGTGACAGATACAAGAGATTGCTACAACTTCACACACACCTATTGAATCGTTGCCTTGACATTCAGTCCTTGAGGTGGGAATGACTTTGCTGGCTTGCCCGATCTGATTCAACCATTCAGTTGTTAGGTACCATTGTTGTGAGGAGAATTGACCTTCCCCGCCGCGTGTGCAGGTGTGGCCCTGCTGTTACCCGCCATGACATCATGTCCATTCATATGGACTACCTGGTCCTTCACACCCCGGCCGTGCTGCCCCCCGCTGCTTCCTCGCCCAGCTACGATCTGCCTCTGCCAAGAGCTCCAAACGTATTGAAGTTGAACATACACGTAGTAGGTCTATAGAGGCAATGTAAATACTCATTTTCCTTTCCTCGCTTGAAGCCTTTGATGACCATAAAAGCAGCACCGGGTGCCCGCCTGCACCCTGCCCACTCAGTAGTGACATACTTATGTAAGCTACGCCAGACGAACGTTTGCCTCCTTCCCCACCAACTTCTTCCTGCACTCTCCTTATTCACAATAGAAACTGATTGCCTGAGGATTGTTATCACATGACTGTGTTGAGCAAAGAACGTGTGTACATGTTGGTCCAGTACTGTCAGTCACCCTTGTCGACACTTGTGACGTGCCCACCAACACTGTGACGAAGGATTATCGTACATATAACAACAATATTTCTAACATCTAAATTCTAGCTTGTATGACAGAGACGAGACCCAGGTGTTATCAGTGTTAGTGTTATATTTGTTAGTTATTAGTGTTATTGTTATCAGTGTTAGTATCATCGTTAGTGTTATCAGTGTTAGTGATATCACTGTTACGAGTGTCTGAGTTAGAGCAACAACGCGTCAAGAGCTATATAAAATTAATGAAGAGTGTAAGTAAAAGTTAGGTTAGGTTAGGTTAGGTTAGGTTAGGTTTAGTTACGATATACCAGGTGTATTTGGTTCATTTGGGTTAATTATGTATTTAGATAATTTTTTGTTTTGTTTCCTGAAGTTTCTAAATAAGTTAATATTTATTCTTATTGTGGTATGACTGTTTGTCTGTCTCCTTGACACATGTTGCTATAAAGTTTGTTTTTATCTCGGGCGAATATATGAGAGAACGTGACTCAGTGAAGGGCATAATTATCTGCTCTCATATCTGGGGTGGTTCTTCTGCTGTCTGTCGTCTTTTTAACTCTCCTCCTTTAGTTGACAATCTTTCTTCCCTTTCTCTTCGCCTCAACGTTGCTTCACTCTCTCTCTTTTACAGGTACTTTAACAGGCAATGTTCAGTGGATTTGGCATCCTGTGTACCGCCGGCAAGGCCGTGGGCTGGTAACACTCGTCTTGCCCGCGGTGCCCACCGTGTCTCTGTGGATGTCGGTCACACTAGAATAATCCATTATAGCGCATCATTCTTTTCTCACACAGCCAAACTGTGGAATGGTCTGCCTTCTTCTGTGTTTCCATACTTTTACAATCTGTCTCACTTCAAAAAGCTTGTCTTCCGGCATCTTCGTGGTGTGGATTAACATACCCTTTTTTCCTCTAATTTATTTTTTATTTTGCCTTTTTTCGCCCCCCAGGCCCCGCTGTGGGTCGGTGACCTGTGCCCGGGTGGGCTAATCCCCATAAAAAAACAAAAAACAAAAAAACACGTCTCTCTCACTCCCATACAACACTACACGTCACCAGCCAGACCAAAATATACGCGATAATGTATTGAGTTTTGTACAGGAATAGTAGATACACCATGTTACTAAAGTGTGTGTGTGTGTGTGTGAAGAAGGAATGCTCTTAAGTGGCGGAGTGTGACGCCCGGTGTATTAGTCACACACACACACGCTTAACCCTAACACATCCCTGAGTCTTGTCCCCACTACCCCCTCCCACCACAACCCCCTCTTATCTACCTCCCCGCCCACCAGTGTTCCCAGTTCCCGGTACGTGAAGCTAGTTGCTAGCATTACGGAAGAGGAAGAGGGTTCGCGGCCTCCCGGTAGTGTAGGAAGGCAGTCTTCCGTTGGGGATGTATTAATTTCCCGGTAGTTGGGGAATAATAACCTCTCTAACGGTGTAGGAGTGCCAGCCTCCCGGTACAGTAAGGAGGATGACAGCCTCCCGGTACAGTAAGAGGGGTGGCAGCTTCCCGGTGCAGTTAGAGGGATGTCAGCCTCCCCGGTACAGTAAGGAGGACGGCAGCGTCCCGGTACAGTAAGAGGGGTGGTAGCGTCCGGGTACATTAGGAGGGGTGGCAGCCTCCCGGTACAGTAAGATGGGTGAAAGCTTCCCGGTACAGTAGGAGGGGTAGCAGCTTCCCGGTACAATAAGAGGGGTGGCAGCGTCCGGGTACAATA